TTATATACTTATATGTTAGGTTAGCATTCTCAGCATGTGAAACATATTTATCTAAGCGGTCTCTGGTGTTTGTTTTAAAGTATATTTGGTGTGGAAGTGAATAGCATGCCACCGTGTCTACACAGGACGCGAGCGAAAGCAAAAAAGACAGTAGAGCCCATTGATTATAATCAGTGATATTTCCTACACTGGATGCGGCGCAGCGCAACACTATACGGACTCAACTGCTTGAAGCGATAAAGCATCCGTTGCAAAGAACTTGGACTATGTCAGGAATAACGGGGAATCCGTTTGCTGTTGGGAATTTCGCATTCAGTGTAGACAGTATTGATTATAATAGGTTCTGCTGTCTTTTGTCACGACGCGTCTTACTGCTCGCGTCCTGTCTAGACACAGTGTAAGTGTCATACACAAGTCTGTTATTAATGCAATTCTGCTTTATTCATTCCATGACCGGAATCCTGCTGATGTTTGTAAACTGTGTTTTGAGCTGAAGGCATCGTGAATAAACATATACGGAAGGAGGCCCGAGAGTCACCCACTTCTCTGTGTGGGGGCCATGTAGGTGGACAAAGCCATCCAAAACCACTGAGCTTCCTGCAGGCACAACTTCAGGGGAGTTTCCCCTCAACTTCACATAACCCAGAGTCTCACTACTGGCGTGTCTCCACCTAGCTTCCAAAACTTTAAGTATTGCTTGGTAGCCATGGAAGCTTGACTGAAAGTTAGCCGCATTTTCTTTAGCACACTTGCTGTAAAGCCCATCTAAAGAATTGATCACAACTAGGATTTGGGAAAGACTTGTTAAATCTGTCACCACCAGGGCCAGGGTGAGGATTTCAACTTCAGTTCCTATGAATGCCTTGAGGAATTTCAGGGTTAACTCAATGTACCCCAGATACGGCACAGCCTGTTCGTTAGCTCCTTTCTACCTCCAGCAAGTTTTCCAATGGCTTCAAGGGGAAGTATGACAAATTTGATTCATAAAATGACTGAGGAATTGTGGTCACCTGCGACCCTGTGTCTAAAAGGTAATCTACTTCTCTCTTTCAATGGTGACCTTGGCTGTGCATTTTATCCCCACTAGCCCCTTTAGCAAGCGTTTTAAAGGCGGTACGCCATGGCTGCGCACATCAGATATCTGTTTGTAACATTCAGGGCGACAGTCTGAACGTCTGGTCTCCATATGCCCCGCTACAGAGACCCTTTTTAGTTTAAAGGCAGGGCAGGCCTTCCATGTATAGAATCCAATTGGCTTTGTTGCTCTCTTAACTTAAGTCGCTTCTCCTCGATTTTGGATGGATTTGCAGCGTTCTCGCAATTGAGGGCCAGGTGCCCATCTTCTCCACACCGGAAACAGTACCAGGGTCGTGGACTGTTAACTCTCAGCTGGCCTGTCCTGGGACTCCTGCCTGTTTCTGTTTCAAGCGGTCTCTGCGTGTTAGAAGTTCGAGGCATCTTACGAGCTATGCGTTGTTTGTTTGGGCAGAGAGCATGCACGCGAGTTCCCCGTTTTTCCAATGAAAAAGCTCGGCTCTCGTTTGTCTCTCTTTTCAAGGAAAGAGGGGCAGCCATCTGCTTCCCGCGATTCAGGACCCGCCGCTGCTGAGGCACGGAGGAGAATGAGCTTGTGGAGATCGCAGGTGTATCTGGCCGATGAGTTTGAAGAGGGGTTATGTTTCTGTTTCAAGCGGTCTTTGCGTGTTAGAAGTTCGAGGCATCTTACGAGCAGCACTTTGAGTTTGCAGCTCCGCAACCTGACGTTGGAACCTAGCTATTTCCGACTCTTCTGCATGGTCTTGTTTCAGTCCCTGGGTGACAGATGCTATCACTACGGCTACTTGGGTGCATAATTCTTCCACCATCTTCTTTAAAGCGGTCAACTCAGCCTTTTCATAATGACTTTTTGGACTCTTCTGATCAGGAGACTGCTTTAAGACAGTAACTTGAGCTTGGATTTCCACAATTTGTTTCTTAAGGAGACTGGTTTCGGAACTATCAGAGTTGGGCAAATCACATGAACAGACTGACACTTGGTTAGAGACTGGCCGTGACTTGGGGTAGGCATTATGGGGCTTTGTCATCCCAAGATGCTTTCTCATCCATTCCTCTTTAGAGGTGTGTTTGTCTTCTTGGGTTTGAATAAGCACTGCTAATTCGGCAAAAGTGGGTGGTTGGATTTCTCTTTTTTCAAACTGAAGGTCAGCAATGAGACGATTGTCCCAACACCCCCTGCAGAATTGTTTCAAAAGGTAACGATCACGTTCACTTTCTGCTATGCCACCTCGCCTGATTGCTGCTCTCAGAATGACTTGTAAGTGGTGCAGATAGTCTGATGGTTTCTCACTCTGATTTTGTACAGTGCCCATGAGTTTGGCCAACAACTCGTCTCCGTCCTCGACAGAACCATATACGGACTCTAACAGCTCAAGATACACAGCAGGTAGGGCTGGAGGGCGCACATGTTTTACAATGTCGGCAGCTAGAGGTAAGAGACTGTCAAGGATTTTTCGTGTTCTGTGCAAGTTAGAGATGGAAGGATCATTTAACAAGAAGTCTACACTTGCACGCCAGGTGTCGAAATCTGGTTCTTTGGGGGGACGAGGAGACCTCCCTGAGAAAACCCTCAGACGGACTGAGGTTTGCTGTGACAGGGTAGCTTCGCTTGTTTTCACTATGTGTTCGACCACCATTCTCTGGACACCAGGTGGGTCCACAATATTTGTGGGGAAAGCAGGGCAGGTTGTCACAGTAATATCATCAGTGGTGGTTTCTGGAGAAGGGGGAGACACAAATGTAGTTCTATATCTTGTTGTCGTTATTTAACATCTGATGACACACATGATCTATGCGTTGTTTGTTTGGGCAGAGAGCATGCACGCGATGTCCCCGTTTTTCCAATGAAAAAGCTCTGCTCTCGTTTGTCTCTCTTTTCAAGGAAAGAGGGGCAGCCATCTGCTCCTTTTTCTAGGGTAGGTCCTCGGTGAGCACCCCCTCTGCTGGGTTCAGAAACCGGGTGCTCGACTTGCAGTGTTTATTTCACTCGTCGATATATGTCCAGATGGTACGATAAGCCGAGTTTCGGCTTCAAACTTCCTGGATCATGCGGCCAGGTCACAGGATTCTGCGGGAGCCTTCTTGATCATCAGGCCCCCGGCACGGCACTGCAAAAATTTCCTGGACGTCCGGGCTGGGCTTATGCTTTCAGGCTGCCCTGTCTGGTCTACCGTATCTAGGTCGCCCTGAGGGGCCTCCCGATCACCAGGATATCCCCTCTTGCTGAGGCATCGAGCGGGAAGTATAGGTGGCATTTG